ATATACAACTTCAGAATCTGCATGTGTCTAAGATCATGTTCAGTAATAGGCAAGACACCTCATTCTCTCTGTGGTTTGCCTTTTTGGGAAGGATGTCTAAAGCTGTAGTTCCTGTCTCATTTCTCTTCAAATTAGGAATACTAAGGGATTGTAAAAGAACACATAGCACTGTATTGTGCAATACTCCAGTTTCGAGATCTTATTTGTGCAGCCTTAACCTTGAAAGCATGTAATATATTGTTTAGTACTTTACTACTAGTAGAAAACAGGGTTCCCAGTGCTCTAGTCAGTCTTATACTAAAGTAGACACTAGTAAAATGCAGCTATCAGTGGAATCGATAACGCTGAGGTTACATAAGTAAAATAAGATAGCATATGGATAGCATAGGTAATAAAATGTTAGAATGAAAGTAAGAACAGGTCAACAAATTATGCACTGATTCTGTGCTGTATACGTTATATAAACTATCAAAAAACTAAGTGTCAAAGAGAGGTGGTTCTAGTATCTATTATGCAATTCTTGGGTTGCACGTCATCGTCATCGTCATTACGTCATCGTCGCCATGTTGGATGACAATAACAAAGCATTCCACATTAGTTTTGCTTGTTCAGTCATTCAGCAAGGCAATGATAGCTTTGTTTTTTATTTCTGGTGAGTGATTTTTGATCATGTGGTTGCAACCCAAGATAGACATTTTATGACAAAAAAATGAAAAAAAAAATGAGAGAAACAACTGGGTACGTACAAGAGCAGGGCTTTTTCTTGCAAGTAGTTTAACATCTTCACAGTTGACTGTAGTTCTTTTCGCATGCCTAAATAAACAGAAAATACAATGTTAAGTTGCCTGCTGCACCAATAACTTTGAACTTTTAGTGCTTAAAAGCACTGCTTAAACACCAAAACTCTTGTAGCAGCAGTGGCAGATCAAGAATGTTACAAAGGGGGATCGTAACACACAACAGCAAATGGTAGATATAGAGCTTTGGGAAATGGAATTTCTTTAAGATGAATTCTGATTTAAGCTATTTTTGAGTTTGAGCCTCATTGACTATCTGTCTGAATACTATCTGCATTAGTTGTTACATTYAAAATTTAATGTTAATGTACTTCTTACTTTGCGAAGAGTTCCAAGTCCACTGCAAACGATTCTATTGTACAAATCAAAGTTGATTAGAAGACAATGAGATTCAGCGGCAATGGTCAAACCATGTTATTCATGAAAAGACAAATAAATACATTATTTTTATAACCATCACTTTCAATAGGGGACTTTTATGAGGTTACCCTCCCAAAGTCTTAAAAATACCAGCTGTCAATTGGAGGCAAACCAGTTTTCTATCTACATGTACAAGTGCATGTTCCAAAAACATTCTTGATCAAATCAGAACAAATACARTCTCAGCTTCATGTAGTGGTCATGGTGGGACTTACAATATACATGGACCATCAGATTTCAATATCAATGCAATGACCACTTGGTGCCATGTCTTGTCAACACCTTGATCTTTAGCCAATATAAGTAGTATGGATAAACATGCAGCCCTTATAGTCCAATGGGTAAAAGTGTGGCCACTACTAAAATATTTGCATACTTTTGTCCTCGTTATTATACATTATACAACTTTTCAGTAAAATCAGACGTTTTGATTGGTTGGTTTTCGTGTGTTATCAAAGTTTATACAACTTTTCAGTAAAATCAGACGTTTTGATTGGTTGGCTTTCGTGTGTTATCAAAGTATAGATACACGGATTACGTCAAAACTAATTGTTTGTTGTATAAAACAGATAGATCTCATTTTTCCGTGCGTGTGTACTCTTACTAATAGATACACAGATGACGTCAAAATTTAGTGAGAACAACAGTCACGCACTCGACCGCGTCTCGTGCGTACTTTTTTGTTCACACTACATTTTGACGTCATCTGTGTATCTATTAGAGTACACGCACGGAAAAATGAGATCTATTTGTTAAATCACAGTTCTAGGATTGTGTTATCTTATCTGGAGTACCCTGCGAGCAGAGTGTATTTCCTTACCCTTAAATTCGTGAATTTTTATTGAGGTAAGGAAATACACTCTGCTCGCAGGGTAGGAATCGAGATGCTAAATATAATGGATCAATCTTGCAAATAGTATGACAGTACAGTACACTGGCCACACTTTTACACGTTTACATCTTTCAGTGATATATCTGCCATGTTCAAAATGTCCATTAAAATTAAAATAATTCATTGCATCAATGAAAACAATAGAACTACATGTAGATAATGGATGCATACTAGAGAAACATTACAGTAACATAGAGCAGCCTTGGCACGGGCCTGTAAACTGCATCCCCACCAGGGGCTTTAATTTCTATCCCAGTAGAATATATTAATCCCTTAAGCAGCCAAGTACATGTAGTGTAGATTTTCGCTTGAGTCCTCAGTGTATGTGCCTGTCGTACCAGTGTGAAAAGAGCAAAGTTTGTGCTAAGACTTGTTGGACCTCTCCTTGGCCAAGGTAGACCATGCAAAGTGCGGAGGCATGTCATTGAGTGTGCCCTGGCCCACTAGGGTTGCCAGATTGATGATCAATCAATCAATCAATCAATAATTGTTTAATTAAACCCATTGCAGCATTTATAGGCTGAATTGCGGGTCAGCCAGCATTACAACTCAAAACATAAATAATATAAATATATAAATAATACAGCATGGTTCGTAATATATTAATAATCTATTGATAGYCTATTGATATTTGACCGTGATGAATTCATTAAACCTCTCAGTTCGGACTAAGGCCTGCCTTTGTGCTTGCTGGCCAGACCTAAGATTGTATTTCAGGTCCTGTGTGATATGTTTCTTAAATCGTCCAGATATGCACCCTGATTCCTTGGCAAAGGATCAACACGATTCGTCCCTTCTCAMTCTCAGTGTCTCAATGTTCGCCAGCTGTATTGCCTCTTCGTAAGACAAGCCCAGGAAGATTATCCTTAACGCTTTCTTTTGAACCGTCTCCAGAAGTTCACTCATGATGATGAACACAAAATATCAGGCAAGTTTCTCTAACTGAACTTACTGTTGACCGAGTCATGAACCTTGCTTTTGCTCAAACAAAACTTACCATGCAATACACCACAATTTCATTTTAAAATGATTAAAATGAGGTTGACATTTGGTGAGTTATTGTTGTCATTGTAGAATCATTAAATCTATAGTGAAAATAATATTGTTGAAGACAATATTTAACTTACCACATTGGCGATATGTTGTCTCTGTGAGAGCAGCTATGAATTGTCTTGAATATTGTAAACCATTCTCCTCACCTTGGTAAATAAACTTCATGAATATTTCAAATACTTGTTAAATTTACATCAGGATGTTAATCAGGCTGCCCATTTCAAATACTTGTTATATTTACATCAGGATGTTAATCAGGCTGCCCATTTCAAATACTGAATCTCAAGGCAAATTGTATCCTAGTTTCTTTGATGCATGATGAGAAAGAGATATGTCACCATGTGATTGAGGCTTAAGTGTGGACAGTCAGAATAAAGATCATGATTGATTGAGACAACAAAAACAAAGAATTGAGCGATCATGGTATATGTTGTTTTACTCTACATGTTTGTTTTTTATTTTATACTGATTGTCTTTGCTATTTCACCCAATCGTAACCTAGTGTATTATTGCCATACAACATGACAAGTCACTCATAATAATCAACTACATMSTYACTCACCTACTTGCTCGCATATCCTACCAACACCGTAATGTAGAGCTGCCTTAATTCTCTATTAACCACAATGAGCTTAGTTAATTACTTTGCTACATTTAAATAAAATGATTGTACTCTATATTATGTACAGTACCTAAATGACACTTAACAAGACTAAAAAAAAAATATAAAAAAAATAAAATAACAATAATAATATTAATAATATAAATGAATAAATTACTCATTCGATTTTAAGTTTTAGTCCCTCGCAAAATTGGGAATTTTTCAGATATTAAAAAAGATATGAAAAGATAGACTCAAAATTTTAATAGTCATTGAAAGGATTGTGGGAATAGCAACACAAAGCTTACTTGACGTCAGCATGTACGTATACGCTGTGCTGAGTTTTTAATATAAGTAGAATCATATTTTTAAAARCTCATAAGCTTTTATTTAAAAAAATGTTAAAGTTTAAACTGATCTCTTTCCCGGTTCAGAATGGTTTATCGCACCATAGCAAGGTGTCTTACACTGAATCACTTTACGGGTCTACGTATTGATTTAATTACTAGTAAATATCAGCCATGAAGGTTTCTAACCTGTTGATAAGCCAGTGCTTCATCGCTTTCTAGCTCATCCAAATCTTCTTCTTCCGCCATGTYGGTTTCGCGCGCATTTTTGTTTTCTTCCCAGGCCCTAGCCCGAATTTTGACACAGGTAACCCATCTATTAAAGCTATTCTTTCGGATGCTTGAAGAGGATGAGAATTTGAACCTCATAAGGAATTGCAATTTGAACAATTTGTACAAATAATAAAGAGACTGCATTGTTTTTTTGCAGAGCGACCTTTTCTGAAACACAAAATCATGGTGCACTGCTCTACCATCAGTGCAAACAACACAGCAGCAAATGGAAGATGTAYCTAATGTAGACCACAATGCAAAGCAAACTACTATCTCAGAAATCAGATGAAAGCACAGACCTTCAGAGAATTCAAATACTTTACAAATCATAAGAAATATTTTAATCTTTATTACATGAAATCACAATATCAACTTGAGATGTATTGTGTTACAAATAATTTATAATGCCATATTAAAAACCCTTAATTCAATAATTCAATCAAATAAACTTACATATTCATTTCAAATATACATGCAGACCATTACCAAACCACAACAAAATAACATGAAAATCAACTCTATCATGTAATACATGAATGTATGAATGGATACAAACAAAGAATTGAAAAAAGAACTGACAGCTTTGAACAGCAACAAAATCAAAACACTTTAAATGCACACAAAAACAAACAACAAACAAACAAATAAATAAAACACAAATAAATCAAATATTCCTTATCAATCCCCACCTGACAAAAAAATAGACAAAACAAAACGAACCAACATGAAATAAAACAAAACAAAGAAAAGAAAGACAAACTAGCAAAAAATAACAACTCATGACTGTGTAAAAAAAGATAATAATATAAGAGCTTAGTATCAAATACTACTCATGACCACATGCAATCAAATATTATAGCAAATGAAATTGCTTGATAAAAAAACATTTATTCGGCTTTCTTCAACCTGAAAAAGAGAGAGCAAAAGAGATAACTCTTGTAAATAAATAAATAAATTACAACTTACAATATGATAAAATATGACTTGGAAAAAAGGAAGAGAAATGAAAACAAATATGGAGGGAAGAAGGAAAGGAGAGATGGAAACAAAGGAAGAAAGGTTTGCAGGAACAAAATAGAGGCAAAAATAACAGCAGATCAGTTATAATACCTCTGACCAACAACCAGTCGACAAAAAATTTTGACTAGACATTGAATGTCCATTGACGAGCTCTTATTTTTGCTCTGACTAGCAGTTATAAAAGAGAGGAGAGAGAAAAAATGAGGACGGTAGAAACAGGAAGACAATTACAAAGTGATGCTGAAAACAAGGATGGAAGTTAGAATAACAAATTGGGCATTAGTGGTTTCGTTTCTGGTTTCGTTTTTGGTTTCGTTTCTATGTTTCTGGTTTTAGCAATGCCCAATAACAAATTATGAGTTGTAATAATACAAATGTTAAATTAAAAAAGAAAAACATTTATTGTCTACAACTATACTAAAAATTGTATRCCGGGATAATCACCTTTCTTTGTCTCTTGGTTGGTCTGATGGGGTTCTGGTCAGTGATTTGTAAATAGGGTGAATGATAATAGGATAAATAGTGAACCATACTGCAAGCACTGATGGAACAAGGTAATATGTAGCATGCAATGGCTGGAAACAACAAAACACAATCAGAAATCAAGGCAGATATATAGATGGATATAATGGTGGTGCACACAATAAGTGTGGATAACRCTCGGCAGAAACAAATATTTGTGGCTACACAGGGCAGTCAATCACACTCCCACATAATCTTTGGAGCACCAAGAGTTTGGGCAATATCGCCATGTCTCAAGATTTCAATGTAAAATCTCCGATTTTTTCAAGAAAATAGCAAATTATCATTTTTTAAAGTATAGTAATGACAAAGAATGATGTGATATTTATGGTCTGTGACTATTTTTTTTGGTGCAGCACAAACTGTCAAATTTACCAATCTCAAGATTTCAAATTGCCTGGGGTTGATAGCCCTGTGGTTATAGTTAATCAAAATATTGAATGTCAGCTATTGAGGTATGCTGTTAAACTATGAAAAGGCTCATTAGCATAGTTTTAATAATCATTTAACTGTTTGACCTTGATATCAGATAGAGCAAGCAGTTACTTGAATTTATTATATACTACTAGACCATCTTATTCCAGTATAAGTATACCCTAGATTGGTAAACTTACGCCTTTCATTGCTGACCATGTCAAAAAGTGGAAAGGAATAATACAGTAGCCAAAGCCACAGAATCTGATTGGCCAAGCAAAAGCAAGGGCTAAAGCCTTCAAACCAGTACCCATATCAGCCCAGCGTACTTTGAATATAGCAGCACACAAGTTGTACACCTAAAATCAGACATTTACAGTGATTATTACAAATTATAGCGCCTTGACTGCCGTCAATGAGTAGGCCATAACAAGAATTGTTAATTCCCTATTCACCCTCAGTTCAACGGCCAACCTTTATTTAGTCATGACAGCAAGTCCCTAGGGTAATGGTGTATCAAATGAATGCATTTAGTTTACATAATACAGTCAATACATTATAATTATATTTGTTTTGTAGTAGTTGTAAAATCTTAAGACAACAACAGTTTTGGAAATTTAGGTCCAATAATCATGACATACAGATGACATTGTTGTTGTCTTTAATGCCTTTACAATCAATGTTAATGGAAATGAATTATATATTATGTAAAACTCTTTTATTTCCTTTTTTTCTGTTCTTCTGAGTTGTCCTAACTAAGTCTCCCACTTTTTTTAAATCCAATTCAGAGCCATCAAACTACTTTTTAATGCAAGCTATTAACTAAAAGATAAAATCTATAATTGCTCATGATGCAATTTAATTGCGCTATTCAATCAATTCAGGAGATAAATGTTACCTGTCTTTCCATCATAATAATAAGGAATTCCATGGTGAAACAGATGAAGTAACCCACATGCAGTCCATGCCAAATTGCCAAAAACATTAGTGTTAGGAAATGTGACAAGTCTTTGTTTCCAAGGAATCGCAGCCGCTTGAAGAAATATCTGGAGTGCAGAGTTTATATTAAACATTGTCAAATGTTCAAATATCACATAAAAAAGCAATGAAACATAAGCATCTCAATTAATGAAGGATTTGGCAGTCTGATATGAAACATGYTCACAAACATTTTCACTCTCTTGAGAAGTTTGAAGACTGGTACCAAGTGTAACAGCTCAAATTAATTTATTATAATATTTATTTTAATCACAACTTTGATTTTTATTTATTAATAACTTCACTTTACTCATCATCATCATCGTTCGGCTGTTGCACAGTTGACTAAAAGTTACTTGATAGTTTACTATCAAGAGCTGAATCATTACAGTCCCACTTGTCTGGTAATATAAGATGGAAAACATTTTTCAGAAATGTACCTGAAGACCCATTTATTGGTGTTGAGATTGAAGCACTCTACTATGTGCTGAAAAAAAATAATAATATAATATAAATAATTATAATTATTTATTTATTATATMCCCATATTTACAGTGTGGTTAGAGAAACCTGGGCAACTAGAAAAAGTGGAGCACTAACCAATCATATTGCAGCAGTCAGCTGGAGTTTGAAATTACTGTGGGAATGCTGCAATTTGGTTGGTCAATGCTGTGTTATCAATTCTATCAGGTCTGTTTTTTGCTATCATATGATTGGCTCAGAAACCTGAATCTGGAATGTTATTGTTTTCATACGTAAACGTGAGTGGCCCCTGGTTCTGATAGCCGCACTGTAACCAAGACACTAGATTTAGCATATAATTTTTTAGTCGAGTAGGTCTGGATACCACAAACCCTTACCCCCTCCCCCCTCCCCTCACACTACCATTAGCATCAACATGTTAAGTATACCCTGGTTACCAACCTGGTAGGTGTATGAACGCTCATATAATGACAATTTGATATTCCTCAAACCATCCCAGATGAGTTCTCCTTGTGGAGTTTTGCCGTTGTAGGAAAGACCAGTAATAATACAGCTACCCTCCTGTCAAACAAGGAAAAAAACTCATAACGTGGGGATTGAAACCTCTGTACATCTCTTGAGTTCAATAGGATAGGATACACTATCATGGTATTTTCAATAGAACATGTATACTATATAAATGAAAATAACAACTTCTTGAAAGTAAGCTAAAAATATTACATCTAGGTATTTAAATGGAGATAATATCTGATGATAATAATTTATCATATAATAATAATAATTATAATAATGATAAAAGGCCAGATATTCACAGCACAATGCAGAAAGGAAGGGGAAGCATGAAAGACAGTTAAAATTAAAGAATGACAAAATGGCATGTTATACTCACAGAAGTCAACCAGACACCCAGGTAACGCATCAAGAATATTCGTCCCCAGAAACCAATGTACCAAATTTGGKTAAAAAAAGAAAGTCCCTAACATCATTAAAACAAAACACATTGTATTTTTTATTGAACGAAATCAAGACACAATAACCACTATCACTGCTCAACCACTGGGCAATTCATTCAATTTGCAATGTGTATAAATACCAAAACACAAAATACCAAACATGAACAAAATATGCGAATTGTTGTGTTTTCTATTGTTTCATTGGGGATCTTTTAGTGTTAGTAAATAGTGTAAAGTGTTATTATAGAGTACAAACACTAAAACTGTGCAACATAAATACCACTAAATACTGCTAAATTACACTAATTCTATTGTTTTCTATTGTAACGTTTAATTAACACTATTTTGTAGTAAAATTATAGTGGAAAGTGTTGCACACATTTAATGTTTGTACTCTACCATGTGCTATTACAGTACCTTGAATTGGTCTGAGGTCATGTAGTCTGCAGTAAACCACGATCCCAGTACGGTGTACAATGTCAGGTAGAGAAGTCCTACAACAAGTCGTTTTAACCCAGCTTGAATGCTGTAGAAATTGACAATTTTTTAAATACAAATTTGCTTTGCACGATTTGAATATTATTGATCAGAAATAACTATTAATTATTTTAAAAATGGGTTTTTACCAATTATTGCCAGTCTGTGGTTAATACTTTCATCATTTAATATTTGCTTTCTTTTCAAATACTATATTAAATTAATATTAAATATTGATTTCATAAACTTTTTTAAATCCTGCATTCTGATTGGATATTCAGTGTAAGACCATGATGAAAAAGAAAGAAAATCTAAAAAATGTTAAATTGGACTGGATAATTTAAATGTAAGCCTATTTACTCTCAATACATCACAATTCCCCCCTAAAAAACTACCAAAATCAACATATTACAGCTGTATGTAATTTTATCATATATCAAGTGTCAAAGTTCACTTTTCCTAGTATCTTATTGGTCGAGTGTACCACGTGAAAGTCACAAAATTTTACTGTTTCCCGGCAACTGTCCACCAGCGGTCAATAATATGTTGTGGACCGTCAATAAGTACAAAGTCGACAGAAAAACAATCTTCAGTGTCGTGAAAATGTCACATTTATGGACGCTGCAATTCCAAAATTGTTATGAAACATTTAATTTCGACTACAAATAGTTAAACTAATTTAATAAATTAGTTATGTAAAAAGACAAATTTAACACCGTAAAAAAGTATGTGGAAAAACTTACTGACGTTTCGGATGTTAATCCTTCATCGGAGTTCTTTACTCCGATGAAGGATTAACATCCGAAACGTCAGTAAGTTTTTCCACATACTTTTTTACGGTGTTAAATTTATCTTTTTACATAACTGTTTCTTTAGAAACACCGACGCAGCTCACACTAGTTTACCGCTAGTTCCCACCATTTTAATAAATTAGTATTCATTGTGTTATTACGTTGATTGATTTTAGTGACTATTTGTATTGCCATTTTTCAGTTATTTTATCAAAATCTTTAATAAAAACAATTCATTTATTTACTTTTTTTTGCTCTCTTTGACACTTGATATGATAATATTAAAGCACTTATTTCCTGGAAAGCTCGGGAAACAGCATGTTTTGCGGTCCCTCGACCGCTGATGTCAGCGGTCTCAGGACCACAAAACATGCTGTTTCCCTCGGTTCCAGTAAATAAGTGTTAAATGTTACAGTGTGTTAAAGAAAACATTAACTTACCATGAGTTATTGTCCAACTCCCTGTCAATAAGACTTCCCTCAACAAGTTGCATATAGGGCTTGATTGGAAACTACATTCATGRAAGATGGCATTTTGTTATTTTGGGTGGAAAACAAAAAGAAGACAAAAAGTATTTTGTCCCATAAGGACCCACTAATACTCTACTGGTAAAATGTCAATACTCCAGTTTCGAATTCAAAGCGAATAACCGCTGTTTTATTTGACAGCAAATTCTCTCCGCAAAGAACTTGAAAACGAGAAAATGTTGTTAGTACAATAGAGCAAACAATTTACATTTTCCCCGAGTTGAGGCTAACCCTGTATTCCCAGAAGGCTCATACCTTAGRTMTYATGGGAATACAGGGTTAGTCTCAACTCAGGGAAAATGCAAATTTCCAAGTCAATTGTAATAACGAAATTTTCTCGTGCTCTCTTTTGTGTTTGGTCAGGTCTTTGCGCAAGAGAATCTGTTATCAAATAAAGCAGCGGCTTTGCGCTATGAATTCGAAACTGGAGTATTGCCCTATCGTGTTATTACATCACACCAAAACATTCTACTATTGTTTTAATTCTAAGGATTATGGTCACCAGAGGGGATCAGAGTGACTGCATATCAAATAAAATGTTGATGAGCTATCATTGATAAATGATATCAAAACTCCATACACTAAAGATCTACTTTTGGAAAGAATGTTTACTTAATAGGTCCAAATTTTGAGTCTTTCTGAGCATCTATCAACTATGTAAACATACTGCCATCATTATGCCATTGGGCAATTGCTCTAGATGCTTGAAGTTTGACATGTAACCCTCTCAACCTCAACCAATTGAATATTTTCCAGTCTTTCACGCAACAAAATTGCTGGTGTAAACATGCCTTAGATATTTCTTACCAGTGGTCCAACCAGGACTGCTCCCATGAAGTAAGAGCTGCCACACACCTAACAACAACAAATTAAATGACATTTAAAATTAAAAGTTTACCTCACATTTATGTTTGCTATATAATAAAGCTAACCATGTTGACTGTTGAGCTTGCAGTGTCTGAGATCCCTGTGAATAATTGCTCATTATTGTGAAAGAAGGCATCAGTTATAATTGCATATCGTTTTGATGCAAAGGCACAGTTTAATACCTCTTTTTTTATGCACCTTAAAAGATGCATACGAAACCATGCTTTCACTGTATACACAGGCCAAACACATGTCCTTAGCCAAAGATATACAGTGTATATCTCCTAGACTAGTACTTAAAGTAGGTACTATAGATAGACCTATTTACATGATATAGCAGGACAAACTATTCTTTTTGTTCCATGCAAARGATTAAGACACTTAATGTAGTGTACACAGTGGTAAAATTAAGTAAACTATCCTCTTCAATTACTACAATCATGTACTTATACTACAGCTATAACATTTCCCTGAACTTACATTCTGCACTATCCCAGGTTACCATCTGTCAATAGAGTCAGCTTGAGAATGACATTCACGGCAAACGGCAAATGACAGAAAAGATCATATGACCTGCTTTTTAGGGTTTTACCGTAACAGTTTCGACGCGAGAGCAGGTTATTTTGGGGTTGCAATAATTGTGAAAATCACTCTTTCAAATGACTACCAAAAGCACAAGGTCAGACACAAAATTCTTAGGTCATTGGTTCAGCTCTGTCGTTAGCCCTTTGCCGTAAACGTGATGCTTAAACTCTCTTTAATACTTCTGTATTTATAATCATTATGTAAATCCTGCATTAAAA